AGGTCTAGTGTACTTCTGGTCCTCCCCCATGGGGTCAAAGGAGTTTGTGTGTGCCAGTTTGTAGAAGCACTGACTTTTAGACTCAGACACAGCATACCTCTCTCTTTAGCCTTGTATTCTCCAGCCACACCCTAATCAGGATTGTCAGGAACAGGTTTGTTTACCACTGCAAGCTGCTGTTTGCTCATTTTAATAGAGAAAATGTGAACGCATTGGCCACACAAACAGGAGTTAGGGCTCAAGTCCCACTAAGAAGAACAGGATGCAGGTTTATCTTGATGAAGGAGACAGACCACTTCCTGCTAGTCCATAGTTACACATTAGAAGCAGCTCAGTTCCTTGAGCTCAGGGGATTGAGGAAGGACATAGATGCAGAGGAGAGAAAAAAGGTGGGGCTTTGGTGGGAGGAGGATGGAGAGAAAAAAACAGAGAACACTATGCCCCAAGGAGTAGAAAAAGGCACTCAGACAGGGAAGGATAAAGGCAGAACAAGACAGGGTGAGAGTGACCACCTCAGTCAGAGAGATGCAGGAGTCCATGGAGACAATCCTCCTAACAGCTGTATTCCTGTGTTATCAGATCCCTGCTTTACTGTCTTCTCTACCTCTTCTGCATCCTTCTCTGGATCACAAGTCAAAGTCGGACCTTCTCTGTTTCTCTCGTCTGTGTCTATGGTTGTTCCAGAAGAGAGGTAAAGGAGAAAGATACCACACACACACACACACACACACACGTGCACACTGACATGCACAAAATCAAACAAACACACACACATACACACACATAGAGAGACACACACATGCATATGTGCAGATTGGGTCTAAATCCAATTTTTAAAAATGTTCTTGACATTTGTGCCACTTTTGTGCCAGTGGGCATCTCTTGCAGGCGGTCATTACTGTACCTCACAGGGCTCATAGCTGGTGAGACTGATGGTTGCTCTTCTCCTCCAGTAGCACACAGAGCACCTTCTAGCACTGTGAACACTAGTAAGTCTGGGTGAAGCTTCCAGATGAGTACCAGATAGATTGCTCCATGTTCTTCTGCACTGTGAGAATGTGGTGTCTTCAGCAAAACAGGTTTACCATTATGTTGTGAAAGGCAACCAACAGCATTGGAAATAGACTCTGATGTTTTGGGTGGGACAGTCTATGAGACCCATTGGGCCAGCTCGATGAGATGTAGCCTCTTGGTCTGAGGGTTTTAAGGGTGGCGTTGATGCCTCTTTTGGTGTTGTCTTCCTCCTTATATGACAATGCCCTAAATTCCTTTAATCCATACATACATATATA